GCAGCATTGTTTCGGTCGCGCGCCGCTCATTACCAATTTTCTATCAGCGCGAGTTTTTCGGTGTATCAGTGATATACTTTCGTGAGCTTGTGTGGTGCGTGAGACGAACACTGCAACGTATCAGTGCAACAAGTACTAATAGTCGTGAGTTGTATACAAGAGTAAACGTGTGTATAGTTTCGGAGACTTACAAAGCGTTCGCAAAAAGAGACAGATTTTCTTCGACGCACTTTGTGAAAAAGGATTTTCACGTCCGCATCGAGCAAAAAAAAAAAAAGAGATAGTCTTCGGTAAGCAACGTCGATGTAATATTCGCTCCGCAATCTAAATACAGCAATTTTCTATATTACGGCATAAACCTACGCGTGTACGCGTAATATACAGTAAAAAAATTTTTTCTCTCCCAAAGTATTCAAAATTTCGTAATGCTTATCATTATGCAAAGTTCAATTTTACTCTCGATATATAACTAGGCGGGCTCGTAGTGCGTACGAATATTATCCAATGCTCAGTGCGGCGACTGATGCGAGAAGAGAGAGAGAGAGAGAGCATGGCACATAAACGCAGCGCGTGCACACACTGTGTATGTATACGCGTAATAAAAACACGCACGCAGCGCACAGGTGAGCTATGCAGCGGCAGCACCACGCCGAGCACCCGAGTGCGTGCCTTATAAAAAGAAAAGCCGCGAATATGCGAAGAGTGAATTTTCCTGCGTGTACGTGAAGTTATATAAAAAAAAAAAAAAAGAAAAAAAAAACAGAACGCAGAGTAGATTTTGCACAAATTTTCTCAAATGTAAAAGCGGTCTCGTGAAAATTTTATTACCCTTCGAGCGTAAATACGACAGTTTCTTCATCTCTTTCCCTCTATTTTAAAGCACACACACGCACACGCTTGCGTACGCGATATTAAATTCCATTCGCGCGCCCTATAGTAGTGTAAGTGCGCGAAAAAAAGGCTGCTGCCTTTTTTTCGGAATATGAAAACGAGTGAAAATTTTTTTGCCGCGCGTCGTTATGAAAATAGTTTTCTTTTTTAATAAACTTCGAAGCTCTGGGCGCGCACGAGCTACAGGTAAAGAGTCATGAAAAGCCAAAATATAATCCCACTATCACGCCCGCGACGACGAGGCTTGCGGCTGCGCTAATTATCATTGCCGGGTAAACGCGCGCAAACTCATATACGCGAGTATTATACACTTGTTTCTCTCTCGTATACGTATATGTACAGCCTGCACATTATAAGCTGTATAAAATATCATAATAATTAAGGGAAAGAACAAAAAAAGTCAAGATAAGATCAGGGGGGCTTTAATCTCTGTTATAGTACTTTTTTAACAAACAAAGAAAAGAAGAAGAAGTTCGACAAGGCTGTAAGGCGCCAGGCGATACATACGTATCTATATATAATACAAATATTCCGAAGAAAATCAGACTGTATACATATATCGAAGACGGCGAATGAGAGAGAGAGAGAGAGAGCCGAGCGGGAGAAAGATTGTCCCGGAGATTAATTTTGCTGAGGACGACGGGTTATATCAGCTGAGAAAGACTCGATGCTCGTCTCCTTCTCTCTCTTTCTCTCATTCGTATATAAGCATAGCTATTATATATATTGCGTGTATATATAAAAGTGAACCTGCTGTGTTTTTACACGCCAACCCGGAGAGAGAGAGAGAGGCTTCCTTCCTATTCGTGTGCACCATGTTACAGGAGTGTAGATGCTTCATTAGGACGACCAACGACTAATTATACACATTCGTACTTGTACAGCGCCGCGAATAGCAATAACATTACAAAAACGAGAATCAATTAGCCGAGGTCCCAGTATGTATGTATACGAGCTTTTTTTCGAATAAAAAAAAAGTTATACAAAGAATATAATTTATTCCTTAATTAACCTATGAGGATTAATCCGGCAGTACATGGCGATTTTTTAAACGTGTATTATGTCTTGTATATATCAAGCAGCTTCGCGTCTCAGACGATTACCGTCCATATACGCGCGGGTATATTGTGTGATAAGTACACTACAACGGAGCAGAGGGATGTGCAGTATGTGTATATATCTCGTTGCGCGACGATAAGAAAAATGGCACTTTTCGCGTATTCACGGGGAACACAATTCTACATACATACATATCTGGAGCTAAACGAAAACTTTTTTCTGCGGGGAAAAAAGATTTATTGGATGCGCGACGACGACGACGACTGTCGTGTCGCAAGACGCGCGAGCAGCAGCAGCAGCAGCAGCTGTCTTTTCTCGCTCGTCTCGCGAGATTTTTTTTTTCTTTTCCCTTCTTTTCACTTTTTTTTTTGCTTACCGGAACAGTAAAATATAAAAAAGTTTTTCGTCTATATAGGTTTTTTGTTCGCGACACGCACTCGACTCTTTTTTTTTGTTAATCGCGTTTCGTCGTTCTTCTCGCGCGTGCGCGCGTAAAACTATATGTTCTCTCCTCTCACACCATTTGTTTCCTTTTAACACCCGTTAGAGCTTCTCTCGAAAGAGAGATAGAGCCGAGGATTTCGTTTTTCACCTGACTAATTGGAGGCTTTGTGCCCTGTTTTTCTTTACTTTTTATTTAGTTTTTCTTCTCTCTTTTTTTCATTCATTCATTCATTTACCCCCGCCATTTGCATTGTGGACTTTGTTTGCAACGCTCGTGCATCTCGTGCATATGTATATTCAAAGGTAAAGAAGAACAAAAGCGGAGGATGCGGAGGATTAGCCTCTACCGCGCGCGAAATAAAATGATTTTGACGACATTTCTATATGGTATTCGCGTGGATATTATATATACTCACCAGCAATACATACGTTTCATTGAAATCGTCCTCCTTTTTACGACGTTCGAATTCGCATTAATTTTGACTCTCGCGCCTTTTATACACATACATAAAAATATTCAAAAAAAAAAAACAGCTCTCGATGAATAAATAAAAAGCGAATAGGCTTTCACTTTGCGCGCGATATATATAATCGATTCGCCTCTCGCCTTACGTACGGTTCGTTTTTATCCTCGCTCTCGTTATTTTTTTTTTTCTTTATCGCGTTTTTGTACGCGTATATTAAATTAAAAGCATCGCTCGAAATTCAAAGTAAATAAATTGAATCCAATACAGGCACGAGTGCAGCACGGCGCGATTCGCGATTCTTTTGTCGTCTAACTGCAGCGAGCACGGGTTTTTTTCGAACCATTTCAAAGCAGCAATAAGTGACGAAGCTCCTCTCTCCACTTATTCACAACGGCCTCTGTACAACGGTATGTTCGCATCGTATTCATAAAAGTAGGATATAAGAGGTAAAAAAAAAAATCGCAATCTTCAAAAAGTTTCGATTCGATCGCGGCCGTGTTTATTATTAATCGCGCTTTTATCGTTGACCCGTTCGCACACAATAGCTCGTTCTCTTGCACTAGCTTTATAATATTATATTATGTGTGTGTGTACGAATCTTCGATGTAACAATGGGCAGCGCTAGGCTTTTTTTGCATCTATTCCCACGCAGACCGTGGCCGAGAGATGTTGAGACTATCTCGCTGTACATTGGCTTTCTACACACATACAAACACGTATGCCTCATTAAACCGCGCGCGCGCACACACACATTTTTTTCCATAAAAAACGCGCAAATATTCGAACCTTAATTATATCCTCGTTAATGGTTTATTGTGAATATAATATACGATATAAATGATAAAACACGATCGCGCAGGTATACCGAGTTGTAAGCGATTACAAAATTCATTAGCCCGGGCGCGCGCACCGTCGATCGTCGGTCGCGCGGAATTACGCTCGTATAAACGAACGTTCAATTGAATTTTTCCCTCGAAATCGAAATTCATAATTCACACAACGATAAGGAAACGCCGCTTCGCAAACGCTGCAGCAGCAGCAGCAGCGAGCCGGCGAGAGGCGCGCATACCTCATTAAAAGGCATAGAAATTGCTCGGAGAACTAGATATTCCATTAAAAGCTCGTGTATGGTATATTGTGCAGCGCATAGAGAGAGAGAGGCCGAAGTTAAGCACACATAGCTTATATTATACGTATTTCTCTCTCTGGCTAGCTGGCTCGCTCGTCCGTTCGCGCGGGTGCGAAATGCGGTTTTCGACTGATACCTCGACGTTTGCGCGCCGCAATGCACCACCATCGCCGTCGCCGCCGCCACCACCGCCACACCAACGCGGCGATATATCACTTTTGGCCAGTAGTCCGCGGCGAAGAGGAATGTTTTGCGCTTGAATGTATAACAAACCATTATTTCACCACTCGAATTATGTGCATATGCGCGCGCGTGGAGATGGATACCGTACTAGGATGCTTCTCTAGTTATTTTAATTTTAAGGCGACGAAAGAGAAACTCAGGTGGATTAATACCTTACAGCGCGGTATCCAGCCAGTTGATTAAAAAACTTGCGATGAATATCGGTTCAATGGAAGAAACATTTTTTAGATTTAAGGAATGATTTCATTCGAAATATGGTAAAGTACACGTGGGACTTTTCTTTTTTCTCGGTTTAAGACCGTGATGTACTGTTTTTGCCACTAGGGGGCAATCGGTAAATATTTTCACACCCGCAAATGGAAAAGTACTTTTGAATGATTAAAACGCTGAAGCAAGTTATTATGTTGTAAAATTTATACATTTTATAATTTGATACATTCTAAGATAGAACCTGAAACTCATTAATGACCGTGCTAAACTAGTACCAAATAATTTTTTACGACATTCTACAAAAATGTAACAAAATTTAATTAGATACAAATGGGGAAAACAAGTGAATAAACATTGAAAATACTCGAATTTCCTATTTTTATATTAAAAAAAAAGTTGGTGCTCAACTCAGGACAGCTTAACTCTGTTCAAATATTTTGATTTGAGATTTTCGAAATACAATTTTTAATAAAATAGTAATACATTCGATGAATTGTACATTTAAATATGTATGAAAGACTTCGAATATTAATAACTTGGCTCGTGTTTTGTTTCAGGCATTACCGAAGGATCACTGGCTAGTAGACAGGTGACGAGCTGGAATCGAATTTTGTAACTCGACGACGCAAGCACACACAGACAGAGAGCGCACCCGAGAATAAGAAAATCCACAGCGAGGCCCAATAGGAAAGGGCGAAAGGATTGTGAAAGTGAAAGAGTGTCAGTGAGTGAACAAACAAAAAAAAAAACAAAGGGAGGAAAAAAAAAGAGAAGAAAAATAGGCGGTGCGTGAAAAGAACATCGTCGCAACTTCATCGACGAAGATGTCGCGTACGTGCCTGCTACTGCCATCGACGACGACGGCGCTCCTCGCTGTCGCCTGCGTCCTGCTGCTCTTGGCGGCGATCGCGCAGCCGAGCCGAGCGGCGGCCATGGGCTCGCGACGCAGACGCTACCGCGACGACGTAGCCACGGTACCCTCCTCGGTGCCGACGCTTCAGCGCAAGAGCCTGATGCAGGGCATCGGCTCGCCGTCGGAGCTCGCCTGGCAGGCCTGGCTGCTGGTCGAGAACAAGAACGTGCCCATGCAGTCGAGCCTCGACTCGTCCAACATACTGCGACGCATCACCCCCAAGAGCATATTCATCGCCCCGGATCTGGTCACGTGTCCGGACGGCTACACGGCCGACCAAAAGGGCGTCTGCAAGCCCAACATCCTGAAGATCGACGAGGACGCCCAGCGCGAGTTCTTCCTCAAGCGGCTGAACACTCTGTACGGCAAGCTGAGCGGCAACAATACCAGGAGGCCCCCCGGCATCGTTATGCCGGGTACCGGTCCGTTCCAGATCAGCATACCGATCTCGATGAGGCCGGAGCAGCTGCAGCCCAAACCCGCGGTGACGAGGCCAGCCGTGCTGAGACCCATCGAGACCATGTCGACCAGTACGACGACGACCACCACTGAGGCCACCACGACAACGACGACGACTACGACTACTGCTGCCCCCAGCACGACCAGTACGACGACGACGACGACGACAGCGTCCCAACAGCAGCCAACCGTCGGCACGCAGATCGTTCAAACTCAAGATCCGGTCGCGGAGATCTTCTACAAGGTCGCCAACGAGACCGGCCCGAAAGTACCGTCGGTGGCCGACGACTCGACGTCGTTCTTCCTCGGCAGTCCGACGCCCTCGACACCGAGACACGAGATCCAGGAGCTCGGCCAGGTCGTGCCGATCGTGCCCATCCTCGACAGCAACAACGAGTCCGTTGTCAAGTACACCGAGCCGATCATCGTCAACGCCACCAGGCCCCATCATCACGCGTTCGAGGAGACGAGAATCACCGACGACAGACCCAAGGCCGAGAAGAAAATCGAGGACGTCGTCATCGTGACGCCGACGCCGGACGTGCTGACCATCTGGCCGACCAAGCTGCCCTTCTCGAGCACGACCAAACGACACACCGAGGCGCCCGAGGAGAAGGAGGACGAGGAAACGACGGCCTCGTCGCAAGAGGAGACCAGAGCCGACTCGACGATACAGACGGTCGCCCCGCTCGAGCCTCAGCAGTCGCAGCAGATCGCCAGCGCCAAGATCCGACTGGACGACCATCTGTATCCGGACGCGACGCAACCCGAGCCTCAGCAGTCCGACGAGTACGACGAGACGTCGTCCTCCGACGACTTTACCGAGGGCGAGGACGAGCTGCTGAAGGCCGGCGAGGCGGGCGCGATGATACAGCACCCGAAGAATCATCCAGGTTTGTTGCTGAGACCGAAGCTGCACCGAGTCGACACGTCGGACGAGTCGACGGTGGCCACGACGACGCTGAGCCTCGACGAAGCGGCTACCACCCTGACACCCGATTCGTCGGACATTAACGACAGCACTGCTTCCATCGTAGGTCAAACTATCGTCGACGAGAGCGGCGATTTTACGGTGACCACGGAAGAGCCGACGACCATCATGACGACCGAGGCCAGCGGCATCATCGACGACGACAACATCACGACCGTCGAGGACACGGCCGACGACAAGCTGCCCACCGAAACAACGAGCACAACCGCGGCGGAGACGAAGAGCCCCGTTATCACTGCGGCGCCTACGACAATGTCGTCGACGACGAGCACGACGACGACAACAACAACCACAAGTACCACTACTAGCAGCACCAGCACCACTCCTCGGCCAACCAGCAGCATCGAGGACGATCTGAAGGAGCTGTTCGAGGCCGAGAAGGATCTGCTGACCGAGCCGGAGGTCGTGCTGTCGACGCAGATCTATCACGGCCTGACGGGCGCTTACGGCCAGAGGCTGCCGACTGCCGTACCGACGCGCGCCGCCACCGCTGCCACCGAGCCGCTGCGCATCTCGACTTACAAGGTCGACGAGACGACGACCGTCGTCAGGACCGAGATACCGCCGGTGCTCGACTACTTCGATCGGCTGCCGTCGAATCCGATCAAGCAGCAGCCCGCGCCGCTCCCAGCCGTCAACGGCGAACGCATCATCTTCCGCGACGACAGCGACATCCCGTTCGAGTTCAAGGAGCAGATGTCGGACTCGGCGAGACCCGTAGCCGCAGCGCAGGACACGAGGCGAGTTCCGTCGTCGGTCGCCTCGCAGCGACCGAGCCCCAACGACCCCGAGGCCGCCTACGTGCGCTACCCCGAGTTGTCGCACTATCTGAAGTTCCCGTCGGACGACGTCAACAGCATCCACAATCTCGACAGCTACAAGGATCGCTCGTCGCCGTATCGCGTCAACCTGGGCACGTCGAGCACGAAGAGCAGCGTACCGGCCCGCCAGAAGCCCGTCTCGTTATCGTCGTCGTCGCAACGCTTGCCGCTCCGGTCGAATCGCCAGAACTACAACAACTCGCGTCTGCGCGAGCAGCAGCAGCAGCAGAAACCGATGCTGCTGCGATTCTGGGCGAAGATGCCGCTGATACGCGAGCTCGACCTGACCGCGTCGCCGACCTCGACGACGACGAGTTACGGCGGCGGCGGTGGTATCGGCTTGCCTCACCGCAACAGAAACGAGCCGTTCAACAGTAGCAGCAACGAGGATCCCTTCCACAGGCAGTTCCAGGCTCACCGGATGAACAGCCGATTCGCCAAGAACAACAACAACGCGGCGGTGCCCCGATTCGACGCCAACTTGAACGGCGGCAGCTTGAACGGCAGCAACAACGGCCTGTCGCTGCACGAAGTCAACAGGCTACTGCAGCAGCACTTCTCGCAGTCGCAACCGGCGATCGCGGGCTAAGCTAAGTAGCCAACTGTGGTGCAGGGCGCCCTTCGTCGACTCTGCGATGCTGTAGGAGAGCCGAGCAGAGAGTAAATTAAAGGGCCTGAGGGCGCGCGCCTGAATTATCTACTACTACACACACATACAAAAAAGGCGCTGTCTCTCTCACTCTTCCCCGCGTGATAGTGGAGAGGAGCTTTTTTTTTCGAGTCATTAACGGGTACGATACGAGAAGCGTAGCGTCGCTGCGCGAGACACGAGCAGCAGCCCAGTACAGTCGCAGCCGGTCGCGCAGCTTTACATAAAAGAATCACGACAGCGTTCGGAGTGAAGCCATTTTTACATATTTATAGAACGAATATGTACCGGTGATAATGATGATTCACGTATAATAGAGACCTACGTGCACAGAAACCGTGTGCATATGTATTATGCGTGCGTGTATGAATGGTATATTATGCGTGTATGTTTGTGTGCTTGTGTGCGTTACGAAAATATATTATTACGTGTATTCGACGTGACGTTGTGTAGCTCGATTTCTCGAATCGAATAGAGGGATGTGCACGGCCAAATATATACTCGTCGTATATAAGGTCACGTGCGAAAAAATGTTAATAGTCATTTTCCACGTTCTATTCTCTATGTTAAACACGCGTTAATATCAATTTGCAGAGGTTGGCTGCGCGCGATCGATTAACTCTATCGCGAAAGTCGAAATTAATCAACGCTACCATTGAGGTTCGATTCTTAATTACATGTATAAATGCGAGTGCGTGTGCGTTTCGAATGGTCGTCGTTGCAGCGGAATGTATGTGTGTGCGTTTATACACACACAGGAGACTGCCTGCATCGCGCAGAAACATCTCGCCACCGAGACTTGGGTCGTTTTTAATTAATATAATCGTCGATGCCCTCACGCCGGGTGCGCGCCAAGACAAAGAGACATCCGCGCGCTGCAGAGAGTGTGTGCATGCATGTATAGTGTCGAGGAGGTGCAGAATGAATTTGTTGCTCTTTTACACTTGACCTTCGACGAAGTGGACCGGTTTTCTCGTTCTTATATACACGGCTCTTTCTCACTCGTTCTTATCGATGCGCACCGCTGTGTCCCTCCTCTTCCTCACTTCTTTCTCTCGTCGTCTTTCTCTCTCGCTCTATCTCTCTGCAAATTGTAATTGTACCTTTTTAATCTGCACCTCGCGTGTAAAAATCGAGAGATCCGATACTTGCTTACGACGAAGCGTCGTGGAGAAAGTGCGAGAAAATAGAGAAAAGAGCTTTGACGACGACGTTGAGGAGACGACACAATGCATCAACGTCCGCGTGCGCGCGTTACGATATTTCGAACGATGCTTTTGTGCATGTAGCATGCGCGTGCGTGGTGCAGCACAACACGAGATTAGCTTGAGAATGCGGATGCGTATATATTGCGACTCCGCGTGTATGTGTGTCCGTGTGTGCTCTTGATGCGGCGCGTTGATGATGAATCGCGCGGACGACGCAAAATTCCCCGCGACAAACTTCATTTATATATATCGTATACACAACAATATACGCACAAGTACGTTATCCTTATGATATATACGTATACACGTAGCGAATAGGCCAATTATAAAAAAAAAAAATTATATAGATATGTACTGAAACGAACATGCATCGACGATTGTACATTTTTTTCAAGCGTAAGCTCCTCGTTACGGAATAACCTGTGGATTTTTTACAAACAATCATCGTTTTAGAAATTTTATACAACCCTTCTACCAGATCGTGCAAAACACAATGATAAATCATTGGCAATAAGTCGAATCGATGTATTATTCGTGAAATCGTATACACCGCTCATAAACTGCCAGGTTATTCCATCGAACGTCAATAGCGTAATTTCGCATAATCCTCACATCGACTTGCGTTGATCGACTGCAAAATACAATAAGGAATGAAATGAATCGGTGTAAAAATGTAGCGCGCGTGCGATGATGAGACATATACGCACTCGTTAATCGCCGATCACAGACTGACCAGAAAACATTTTTAACGGCCAATTCGAATGTGTGCCAAAAAAAAAGTTTTTGGCTAATTATACGTATGGCAAGTACGGTCGTTCCGGCGCGCCGCCACCGCAACGCCTGTGCACTTTTATCGAATCATATTTATACATATTATTATAAACTGTGCACACGTGTGAGCGAAGCGCGCGCTCTTGGGCCGAAGAAAAATAAATACATATTGTAAGCCGTATAAACTCGATTTCGCACGATTCAAGAAGAAAAAACAAATATCCTAGCTTATAAACAATTCGTGTTTTTTGTATACTTTTACAAGCGTTGTTTATGAGAAGAAGAAAAATTTATATATGTATTCGATGTTTTTCCTTCGGGGCTTTTTTCGATTCACACAGAATTTATCTTCGTTTTTATTAATATTGTAATATATACATACTTGAATTTTTATGTATAGTATAATAACGAAAAATATATATGAAATTATATATTTAGTAATAAGTAACTTAGTAAACGAAACATAGTCATGTGGCAATCTCGTGGGGTTAACGTTGAAAATAGTACCTCACGTTCATTTGAAACAAAAATTCGTTTTTTGTACGTGTGTTTTTTAAGTGTATGCGTATGGGTTATTTTTTTGTTTTTTTTTTCATTTGTGCATGATACTGGAAAAAAAATTGTAATTGTTGTCTATTAACACTTTAAGATTTAATACTTATAAACAAGAAAAATTTAAATAATACATGTTTAACACAGAACGCTGCGACGAGATTAGTCAAAGACGTATTACATAAACTGCGCTTGTATCTAAAGCTCATTTCATACGCTCGCCTCTCGCGTAGTAAATATTGCAATGTATTGTACTCAGAACAAACTCTTAATGACGCGAAAGTCTATTTATACAATTTTTTTTTGTTAATTGATATTGTATTCTTAAAAACGTACGGACGAAGGAGGCATTTAGAACTGTTGCTCGATGTTGTATGTTTTGCAAGAACGAAGAGCGTTATCATCGTCGTAGTTCCCGCCGCTTTATCGCATTTAAGCTTCACACGAATTGAGTACAAAACAATACGGGCCATGCAATTTTTCGCCAATAATATAATCCTTTTTAAATGCCGTCTCATTTTTGGTACTATTTGATACGCATCAAGGTGTCAATATGGATTAATTAACGATTTTTATACTTATACTAAGTTTCTGTAACTATAACGAAATCAAAAATCAATTTTTTTGCGAGTATAGCAGGTTCATTGTTGTAAATATTTTTAACTTTATCGAATAATTTGTAATATATATTTCTATTTGTAAACGAGTGTGTGCTAATTTATATTGTATTTTATATATTGTCTACGCAATAAGTTTATAAGTTTTTTTCCTCAATCTCTGATGATTGAACTAAAAAAGAGAATAACCGAACCGATATTCTTTGATTTGTATAGTTTTCACCAAAATACTCTCATTTCAATTACATCAATATTTTTTCTGTATAAGTGTGTACATGTATTTGACGCATATGCTATATATGTGTATCCGTGTAAATATTAAAAATCTTTATCATTAATCGAATTTTCGAATTAATCTTAGACCGTAAGATATTATTATGTAGGATCCGCAAAATTGTATATATTATATTTATAAATGTTAAATTAGTAAACAATGTATATCGATGTAAGTGTTAGCATTCTTAAAATGAAAAATGTATTAATTGTATTAAAGTGTCGCAAAAAACACTTCTGTATTATTCCAGAATATATATTGATGTATATTGCATAATTCTGACTTTTAATTGAAAATTTGCATGCACACAGTTCCTTCCCGCCTTTACAGCTTGGACAGCCGACAGTGATGTATATATATATGCACACATAGGACGTGCTACATGTACAAAGTATATGCATTTGCATACTGTACGCTCGAGCTGCAGCTTTCATTCGATCAGTCGGTATACATACAGTATACATACATCGGAGAGTGAAAATGCGCTCTTTGCCGCGCACTTGTTCATTCAGGCCGAGATTGGGCGCGAAGGTTGAATCCGAGCTTAGCGTCGATTTTCTCTCTACTTCGTTAGATTCATGTAGCCATTACAGCTCGTATACTTGTTTATTTATTTGATTTAGTTGTCTCTTCGATCGACCCTTCCTCGGCACGTGTAATCACTTACATGACTGCGCGTGTTTTGAAAGAATCGCGATAAAAAAATTAAAGCGAAAGAAGACTTCTATATACCGATATTGCGAATTGGAGCAGACTCGAGTGTTCATAAAATAAAGAATTTTTTGACACTATAATCGGCAATAATTCGTCGTTATTGTCACTCGCCGTAATGCTCGGATTAGATAGGTCAATTAGTAGCAGCATTCCATAGTAAATCTTTGATGAAATCGCTCATCGATCGGTGCGGCTTGCGGCCGGTACGGGGGAAATTTATTTTCAGTTCGTCCTTCTCTCTTCAGAAAACGACGGAGCTTTTAGAGTCAATTAGACGACGCGTTGATCCATCATAATACATTAATAATTTTAGTCTTAAAAGCTTTGATAGTTGCTGCTGCTGCGACTGCTGCTTGTCGCAATCGCTCGAGGCCAACTTTATTTAAACATTTTTTTTTGCGTAAAAATAATTTTTTGAACCCGGCGAAATCGCCGCGCGTGTCTTCCTTATACGCCGCGCCGCCGGATTAATATGTAACGTCTTGGACGGCTCCAGAAGAATCTGGAATTTTTTCGAGGGGAAAACGGCGAAAACACATGCATTATACGCGTTGGGTGTTGAGATTTTGGAAGACAATTCCAGCACAGAGGACAGATCGACGCTGTGAGTCATTTACACACTTACGTTCGCAATATGAGTACGCGATCATCAATTATGAAAGTGTATACTAATATACATTTTGGCATGGTAGAGAGGCATTTTTTTCGAGAAAAAAAGAAAATCGCGAATTATCTTCCCCCTGCGACTCATACTCATACTCGTTTTTAGAAACTCGATTATGACGGATTAATCTCTTTCATTTTGGCACTGAAGTGTACGTTCGAGCAATCTCTCGTGGAATGACGCGCGCACGCACACCTTAAAGGGACGCCGCGTGTAACTCTATATTTTATACGATATTATTACTTTTACAAAAGTGAAAAATTTCGAAATGTCGCGCTAATCCCCCCGCACCGGTGCTTGCGTATATATCAACGCGGCATACTCGATTGTACAATGGGCAAGCTCGAGTCAAGGCGCTCGCGATCATCGGCGCCTACTCTCACACAGAGGCAGGCGCGCGCACACACATACGCAAGCGCGTGTGTATACAAAGCTATAATTAACTTTTACAACTTCCCCGATTGGGTGAGAGTATATATCGAGATACCGAGATTTCTAAACGCGAAGACCGAAGAGCGTATAGGAGCGGCAGAAATCATATACTTGTGAGTTTTAAGTTATATATTTATACACTAATGTTATCCTTTTTACTTGCTGCTGGCGAGCGACCGCAGGTAAGTCAACTACGCGCGTGTCAGGTGCGCGAATTATCGACCATCGTCGCGCTCTCGAGCGAGCGGAGCTGTCAGCGAGTTCGTAAAAGTGTACCATAAGTAGCAGAAGCATCGGCACCGATTTATTTATAAATAGTTCGAATTTAGACAAGTGCGAGCTTTGGGCGATTCGAAGGCCACGAATTCGGCTGTGTTGCTGTTTATATATTATTGCACGGCAGATGCGATGTTTCGAACACAGCAGAAATTCATTTCACGTTTTATTAATCCTCGCGGAGCCAATGAAGTATATAACTCTAATGTAAATGCGCTGTAATGTACTTCGGGCAGTCCGAGGGACGCGCTCGTTAATGCGATGCCGCAACGAGCTTTTGAACTTCGATTAAAACCAACTTCCAACAATTATAATTGATAATATTCTCTCAAACGGATCTGCATCGGTAATGGAGCATTATCATCATTATCATTATCGTGCGCGCTTCGAGCTTAAAGAAAGACCAACACACGCTGCAAAATTAACCCTCTCCGAACTTCTTTTTTCGCTTCTCGTTCTCTCGCTCTCTCGCTCCCGTGTTGATATAAGAAGCTCGATTTTCAGCGCAGCAGCAGCAGCAGCAGCAGAAGTTCTCGTGCCGCGTGCAGTTTCATTGAATTTATTATCGAGCAATTCGACTTTCGACCTGAACTTGCACTTTAGCCGCAGCTGAAGCCGCGGGCGCAAATATATATATACGTATATATTACGAGCCCGCGTGGAAAAGTAAATGAAAATTCAACGAGCGAAAATTAACTGCGTATATATAGGGAAACGAAGAGAGAAAAAAAAGGAAAGAAAAAAAGCGAGAAGCGAATACGAGAGCCAAGTCCAAAGTACTGATAACCGCTGCACTTGTAGAGTGGAATATAAAACGGGGTAGAGAGAAATGAGATGCAGGAAAACTTGCGCCGAGGATGGTATATATACGGTAATGCGTATGCATGGGTAGTATACAGCCCGCGGGCGAAAGCTCGCGAGAGATGCTAAACCGTGGAAAGCGATTGTATGCGCATACATGCACACACGATCATCTCGAAAAAGGACACGTTGCACGGAGAATTCCGCGATACAAAGAGTCACTCCGCGTGCGCGTATCAATTATTCCGTTTTGCGAACTTTATTCGTTAACGACGTTAATAGGCCATGCTGTGTATAAGTTTTGTAACTATATATACACGCGAACTAGCTTTGGAGCTTTATAAAGTGTGCCTTGTCATCATCTTGCAGTTTGAAGCAGGATCTCGTACCGGCTCTTGAACTTCGACAAAACTGTACCTACTCTGTACGTACGCCTTTGAGCAATTATTTGTCTATACACGACGTGAACACGCGGCGGGCGCGACGATTTTATACTACGGCTCTGTGTAGGTACGTACGCGAGGCCTCAAATTTGTCCTGCCGTGTGTGTGCCCCCCTCTCTCCCTCCCCACCCGATCTGCGAAACATTCGTGGTCGAAGGATAAACCCAAAAAAAAATTTCTCTTTGGTTTAGTTTTATAGTTTTTTTTTTTCGAGCGGTACCTAGAAAGTCCCAGAACGCGCGTGCGAATTTATGTACACACATGCGGCAATGGCTAGCTAAAGTTACGTTTGTATTGATTTAGCCATTTTTTGTTCTCTATAATACAGTATAAAAGACTTGGAAATACCGCACGAGTTGGGAACGTTTCATTACATTATCTTCCGCTTATCTGCATCGATGATGGCTTCACCACGCGCCGCTTGTCTCTCTCTCGCTTATCTTCGAGTGCGAATATTGTGCCTATGACATGTCAGTTCTTGTTCGGACTCGCACGGAGTCGGAGCAACAATTTCTTCACAGTGTGTAATTATCTCGCAAAGTTTCATCGTTACATCCTAGTTTCGAGCGCGAAACAAAGAAAATTCGTTTTACCGTAAGCGTGCGCCGAAAAAACATCCCGGCAGCAACACGGCATCATCATGTCTCTCGTGGACAGCGTTCGCATGGTGATCTACAAGAACTACGCCTGGCGCAAGAAGCAATGGGGCCGCACCCTGCTGCTCCAGTGCCTCGCGCCGTTGGCCGCCCTCCTCGTGCTCTGGCTACTGTGGGGCGGCTACGGCTGTCAGCCGCTCCAGGACGACGTCGTGGACTATCCCGAGATCCGGCCGAACAGCCGCAACGAGAGCTACTACGGCAATGGCGAGATCTACTACGCGCCGGCGAGCAATTTCACCGACGACCTGATGAAGCGGCTGCAGGACGATTGTCTGGCTCCGCGTAATGCGCGTTATCGCAGCCGAGGTTCCTGTAAGTGTATAGCGACGTTGCGAGCGATATTTCGATGATAATAATCGCGTTTTTCGTATACAGACCACTATTTATACGATCGCTACGGCGACTTCGAGGATAGGATCGAGGTGCGCGGCTTCGAGACCGAGGCCGATCTCTTGCACGCCTATCGCAACGTGACCATGAGAGACAGCGACTACACGGACATCAACATCGTCTCGGTGCTGTTCGACAATTACGATCGCTCGCGACAGCGACTGGATTATCGGCTGCGTGCCTCGAACCTCCACCAGGAGAATCTCTACGTCGAGGTCTTCATGATCGATTACTACTGGAAGCGTGGCAGCAAGCTGGCGGCGATACAGGGCTGTCTGGATCAGCAGTTCATCCAGATGAACGCGCTCGAGCCGGAGAAAGCGAGATTCAACGTGAGCGCGACGTTTATTGATTTTTTTGGTAGATTCGTAGAGAGATGAGGTTTAATGTTTATTATATATATTTTTTTAAGGTCACATTGCAATCCATGCCAAGACTGCGCAGGGACGAGGGTAATCCGAACGATTGCATCAAGTAAATATTATTATTATTAGATTATAACATAAATTCAACGTTAATTAGCATTTATGTAATTATTCATTCTCGATCATTTCAGCGCGAGAAGATGCTTCAGATTGGTCAACGGTCTGTCGGTGCTCATATTTTTGCTGCCACTGCTCGTCGAGGTCTTCGCTTGGTCCAGAGATCAGAGATACGGCTCCAACGTAAGCTACAACGTCGCTACCTCCCGTCGAGCTTTTAATATTAAAAATAAAAAATCTTTTGCCCAGCTCCTCCTGTCTTACAATCGTCTGTGCGCCAGCCTGGACCAGCTGGTCGGCTACACCAACTCGCTGCTGCTGCTCGGCCTGCTGCTCGTCGTGCCCGCGACGCTGCTCTTCACCGTGTCGAGCTCGACCGCGGTGCCCCTCATCGTCCGCAGCAGTCCTCTGCTCTTCGGCCTGATGATGGCTCTGTACTTGGCGCATCTCTTGTCGTTCGGCCTCGTCGTTTCGTCCGTCTTCCCCCATCGTAAGATATCGTCGTCGAATAATCATAATATATTCGTTGACGTACGAATTATACGTCTCGATTTCTCGCAGCTTGGCTCGCGATGTTCATCACCGTCGTCGTGAGCGTCGGCTCGATGGCGCTGCCCACCGTGTACTCGCCCTACGACACGGACTCGCCGATCCTTCATACGCTACCCTACCTCAGCGCCATCTTTCCCAACGTCTTCTGGTATCTGGCCCTGAACGAGTTCGACTACAAGGAGTTCTACGCCGAGGGCGCCAACTGGGACGACCTGTTCAACGTCGGCCAGCTGGCCTACGGCTTCTCCGGCAGCCTCGGCATGCTCATGGTCTTCGCCGCGAGTGGCGCGACGCTCTACCTTTTCCTGGCTCTGCTCATCAATTGCGTCAAGTGTCGTCTTGCCAAGAGCTGCTACGTTTCGTCGGCTGTCAAGGTACGTGGAGTGCCGAATATGCGAGTGAAATTGAGATGTATGTCTTGTAATGAAATTATTTGTCCACGTACAGAACCGTTGGTTAGAAGATCACGAGAACACGATGAGCGATCCCAGCGGAAAGGGAAGAATCGAGCGACCATCGGTGCAGCAGTCCACACCGGCGGTGCAGATCAGAAATTTGAACGTGTCATCTATGGTAAGTTTATTATTATGGCAAGCTCGATCCGAATAACAATAATAACTTGGATGTACGATTTTTTTAGAAGCAGCAAAGTGGACTGGGTATTTCCATTGACTTTTATAAGGGCGAAATAGTTTCCCTCGTCGACTTTGACGGTGTCTACAAAACCAGGCTTTTGTCTACCTTGTGCGGTAAATATAACAGTAAAAAAAATAAATAAAATAACAACACTGAAAATTAAATTTTAAATCTCTCTCCTATGAAAGGATTGTGCGATAGCCCGAAGGGCGCGATCAAGGTGAACTCGCTGAGCATGGAGTGCCACGCCGACAAGATCGTCAACGATATCGGCTTCTTCATCAACGAGGACCTGATATTCCCCAATCTGTCGGTCTACGAGAATCTCAAGTTCTTCGCCAAGTTGAAGAGAAACATGCGCGCCAAGAGCAACGTCGATCAGGACATCGCCACGACTCTGGAAAAATTCCGGCTGTTCCACAAGCGCTTCGAGCTCGCCTGCAATCTGAACAGCGATTTGAAGCGACAGTTGTGCGTGGCCATGGCCATGGTCGCGAATACGGATGTAAGTTTATTTTTTTTAAATTATTTTACATGGTGATCGTGGTATTTGAAACGTGTATTATTATAGATCGTCGTTTTGGACGAACCGACGAAAGATCTGGACGCGGACGCCAAGCGCATCATTTGGGATAACATAAAAGTGAGTAATTCAAAAAAATTATATCGTAATAAAAAAAAAACCAAGTACGATTTTACAAGACTCGCAAACATTCTTCTTTCTCAGGAACTGCGAGGCCTCAAGAGCGTCATAATCGGCACCAAGAGCATCAAGGAGGCCGAGCTCGTCGGCGACCGTATCGCCGTGATGCTGGAAAATCGCATCGACGCGTACGGCACCCCGAGCTTCCTCAGAGACGCTTTCAGAAGTGAGAGCTCGCCGGAACTCGGCGTCGTCTTCCGTCACGGCGGCTCCGTCGACGAAGCGAAGATAGCCGATCTGCTGCAGGATCCGCGCACCGCAGTGAGGCGCGAGAGCGAGCACGAGTTCGAGCTCGCGGTGCCCGACACCCAAGACACGAAGAAGGCCCTGGAGAGTCTGGACCAGCTGAAGGCCGAGATCGGCGTGACGTCGTTCACGATCTTGTATCCGACCCTGGAGGATATCATCTTCAGCATCGACGCGGAAAAACTCGAGCCGGTGGACGTGAAATCGCCGTTGGACAGAGAGAACGTGACCACGGTGGGCAACGAGGGCTACCGCGAGGTCTACGCAGCCATGAAGAGAAAGAAGGCGGCCTACGTCAGGAGAAATCCGCGAGCTTTGTTGATCGTTTTCGGATTGGTGAGTATATCGCGGCGAAACGATCGCACGAAAAATTTGCAATATTTCGTACACATCTTTATCTTATCTCTCTCGTCGCTCTACTTGTCGTACAGATCATGGCCGCAGTCGCCTACCTCTCCTTCGTCTTTCTGCAAGGCAAAGTCGTGGAGCTCGCGCCGCGCGTCGTCCGGCTCAGGCCCGATCTGTATCGCGACAGCGAGACGTTCTACAGCAGCGGTCACGACGCGGTAGCGCCCCTCGGCCGGGCCTATGAGTCAGCCAGCCGACAGTGGGGTGCCGAGAGAACGACCGAGGTCGTTAACTCGAGCCTCGTCGCAGGTGAGTGCATCTCTGGCATGATACACGCGAATCACGATGATTCGGCGATTTAAAAAAAAATGTACGATTTCAGCTCTGGTCAACGAAGCCCGCACTAACAAGACCACCTACCTGACTCGCGTCGTCGCCGCGGCCGAGTTCAACGCCACCACGGCACCCACCGTTAACAACAATGGCACCAACGCGACGACCTACTCACCCTCCTTCCTCGCCAACGCCCTCTACTCGCGCGACCAGCTCTACAGTCTGCCGATCTCCCTCAATCTGATCGGCAACGCTCTGGCCAAGGCCCTCGTGGGCCGCGAGGCCTCCATCTCCGCCAGCGTCCAGTCCTACCCCCGGGTCTCCCGATCCTACTACTGGTTCCGCGACGGCTACCTCTACGGCACGAGCTGCTCCCTGGCCATCGCGCTGCTCTTCCTGCTCGTCTCGGCCAGCTACTTCCTGCGTCAGCCGGCGGACGAGCGTCGACGCGGTTTCTGGTATCTGCAGCGCATGGCCAACGTCTCGTCCTGGGCACACTGGCGCTCCGTGTTCGTCCACGATCTCGCCATGTGGATGAGTTTCGCCCTGTTTTTGCTGGTCTCACTGATGACCGTCGACAAGTTCATCGGCGCTGGGATTTTCAAGTCCGTCGACATCTTACGTAAGTGATCTCGAGTTAATAAAGAGAAACGAAATGACGCAACGGAAGGAAGTAATAACGCGACGATTTATTTTTGCACGCAGTTCTCGAGCTGTTCCTCTTCCTCCTGTACGGCTTCAACGTCCTCCCGTTGGTCTACATATTCAGCTTCATACCCTTCAAGCTGCGAACATTGACGGTATTCATGATTTTCATGATGCTGCTCTTGTGTAAGTATACATTATTACATAACATTCGCGCGTGCTACACGCTGCAAATCATAAATCAACGGTAATAAAAAAATTGTTTTTTCCTGCTTCTTCCCGTACGCAGCCATGATCACCATCTTCGTGCCGTTCGGTATGGGCCCGTGGGAACAGCACAGATTCCACTTTTTCGGATTCCTCTTCCCCTTCTACACGTTCTACTTCAGCCAGAAGTCGGTGTTCGCGGCCATCGCTCAGGAGAACAGATGCGAGGCAGTGAAGCGCTCGGGCGTCGAGACGTGCGACCGCAACAATTACGATCGCACCTGTTGCTGTGAGTCTACATGAAAATGACATAATTATTACAATGATCGATATGAAAAATAAAAAAATGTATTTATAAATTTTTTGTGTATCATCGCAGACAACAGATCGGCCTTCGTGCGCTACTGGGACAGCTCGGGCTGGTCCGAGGACAGCGCCTTGAGCACCGCCTACCTCGTCTTCGTGCCCGTCATCTACTTCGCCGTGCTGCTGCTGATCGACTCGCGCGCCCTCGCCAAGACCCTGCACCTGTTCAAGGTCGTGCAGTCGGGCCTGATGTCGCCCATGCTCGCCAACAACGACAAGATGCAGAAGGAGAAGGCCGAGATAGCCAACAAGATCGCGCAGATGAACGATTACACGTACAAATTCGTCAGCAGCGATAGTCGCGCGGGTGCCAGTCGCGGAGCTCTGACGAGCCGAGCGTCAGTACCCGTGTCCCAGCAACAGCCGAGCGAGATGCTGCTCGTGCACGAGCTGCGCAAGGCCAGCCTGCAGAAGTTCGTCCTGTACGACGCGAGCTTCCGCGTGGCCCGAGGCGAGTGCTTCGGCCTGTACGGGCTCAAGGGTGCCGGCAAGACGAGCGTGCTCGAGCTCGTCACCGGCGTCAGTTTCACCAACTACGGCTATCTCTATCTGGACGGCGTCGACCTCCTGAACAGCGCCAACAGCCCCAGGGGTCGCGCCAAGGCTCGACAGGCCCTGAGCCGCGTCGGCTACTGCCCGGCCTCCTCGTTCCTGCTCGACTCGCTGAGCGCCCGCGAGCATCTCGAGCTGTTCGCCCGTCTCAGAGCCGTGCCCGCCGACCTCGTCGACTCGGAAGTGCAGTTCTGGCTGAAGACCGCGGGCCTGACCGACCTCGCTTCCGAGCCGAGCTGCGCGCTCGGCTGCGGCAAGAAGAGACGCCTGATGCTCGCGGCCACCCTCGTCGGCAATCCCAAACTGATCGTGCTCGACGAGCCGAGCGCCGGTGTCGACCCCGAGACGAGAAAGTTCGTCTGGCGGCTGATTCGATCGTTGAGAGCCGCCGGCAAGACCGTGCTGATGACGACGAGCAGCAGCGAGGAGGCAGCGGCACTGTGCGACAGGATCGGTGTGCTGCTCAACGGGACTCTGGTCGACTTCGAGACGCCCGAGACTCTGATGAGCAACAAGCACGTTCGATTGTAAAGTCGAATAAGCAGCACTATTATATATCTATATCTACTAGTCATACAATATTCATTTTGTGATTAATTTTCTACTGATTTACTCCATATTTTTCCCCCTCTAATCATTTGTATACGATCAATAATTGATGTAACGCAAGTTCGCGGTATCGCGAACTTGAACTGAAAAATAAATAAATATATTTTACCGACTAATCGTTGGTGATTCCAAGTATTTTTAATATACAGTCCCTTTTTGCTGCCAGAAATTTTTTGCCTGCCAGACGACCTCCATTTCCGGGATAGAGAGAGAGAGGCATGAAGCAGCAACAGCAGATCTAAAATCTCGCGCGCGCGGCCACATGATGTTCGCGGAACGCAGATTTATTTTCATCTGTCAACCCCGCGCGGCGCGAACAAGTGCGATGGTACGCGGTTCAAGCTCGTTATAATGTACGCGAAGTTTCCAGCGTGCGAAACTTACGTTTCATCGTGTTCATAATGAACTATAATCGATCGTATCGATTAATAAACTTGGGTTTAATGGAGTGTCGAAACTTTTGAAACCTGTGGTAATGCACCTTGAGTGTGCAGCGTGACAAACCCAAAAGGAAAAGCGACAGAATCCAGAGGTACTTACTTGTATGCATATACGATATCGCGCGGATCCGCGTGTGTTTATCTCGAGAGAAGAGAGAGAGAGAGGAAGGGAGAAAAGCTTCCGGCTTAGATACGATCTGTATAACGTGTAACCACCTCTGCTGTAAGTAGTAAGTTGTCCAGGCCGCGCCGCGCGAGAGATATGTTGTGTGCACAAAGTCACACTGACACGATCCGCACGTACACAGTGGGCTGCATTGTCTCTCTCTCTCTCTCTCTAAGACACTTGAAAAGGGCCGCTGTTGCCTCCCCGAGAGATCTTGCAATCGCTCTTCTCTCTCTAGCTATATAAGCGCGAGGCCATTAACCCAATTACATTTAGACGAGCACCGCGCGCGCGAGCGGATCGTTGGATAAACTATACATATCTATATATTTGTTAAAGTGCAGTATGAATTTCGCAAGTTACTCCGAAGCCTCGGCGACGACTGCGAGTCGTTGATACTGGGCTATACTTACTATATATAGGCTGAGCGCCGCGTTTATTAGATGTACGACAGTTGTTCCACGATTTCGTAGCGCCAGCCGGTGGATATCGCTAGCGAGAGAGCTTTTAAACATATGAGGGGAAAGCATATGAGGATGTGCCTACTCATATACTCGCGATTGACAATATTTCCATAAAAATCAATGTGAAGGTGGAGGAAGTTTTTTTATTTTACACGTAGATCAATTTAATTTGCTTTGAATTTTAAATTTACTGATTTTTTCACGAATCATTCAATATTAATTTTAAAAATGGAATGTAAAATTCTTCAAGTTTGATTCACGACACATTAACTGAAAATCTTTTACATTCTAATTATATTCATGCGGACGAGAAAAATAGAGACAACCATACCCTGTTGTTCAAAAGTTTGTACTTGTACATTTATTTTGATTTTGCCGCTTACAGATTTAGAGATAATGGTACTTGCCATCTAGTGGTTGTGGCTAGCATTAATTATAATAGAATAGTATAGAGTAGAGAATTGAAAAAACTTGGCTCTGTTTACTTTAAAAATAATTAATACTGCTTACGGCGGGCGCGCACAACAATTGAATTAGGCACGCAATTGTGTCGACTATTCTTCGAAGCTCGAATCTATTTTTTCATTGTTTGTTGTTGTAAAAAGATAAAAAAACTGTTACATTCACCGTTAAAATTATAAGTATGTTAAAATGCCACCCCGCGCAAGTTTTCATTTGGGGCTCGCGCAATTCAAAGGACATTGGTTCAAGTACTATGAAAGGAAAAAATGAATTATGAAAGTTTTTGCTAAATTTGAAGAAATTCAGAAGAAATTTTTGGGTTCAAATTAAATTATTAAATGGATAACAATTTAGTTTTTTCAGTGAAAACATATTTTTATCATCATATTGGTATATCAATGAACCAGTGGCCAACTGAAAACCGGCTCCATTCATAGCTTCAAACAAGACGTAAAAAAAATCTCAGCTGATCGATGCTTGAACAGTTGCAAGTAACCGAGTAGCCAAAGTTGAAACATGACTATGACAATGAACAGCACGGTAATGATAGTTGATAGTACATTAAGATGATGTAAGACACAATAATTTCGGCACAATTTTTATTCGAATTTTAGAAAATATCTGTTTAAGTATTTCATGAACTGTATTTTGGTGTTTTCTTAATTCGCTTTTAATTTTGTCTCACACATGTCACAAGCGAAATTATTCCGAACTTCGTACGTGACCTTTTAACGCTTAAAAAATCTGATTTTTTCCTAAATTTTTTCTCGGACTTATCGCAGAACTTTTTTCCATATCAATTCAAATTCGATGGAGTCACATATTCATTTTCACTCTTGTAATGTTCATTATCTTTACAAAGTTCATGTACTATTTTTTGGTGTCTGATTAAATTGGATCGATGACCAAATTTCTTCTCACACTCTTCACATGCATAATCTGTCCGACCTTCATGGACTATCCTTTGGTGCCAATGCAAATGAAATTTTTGTCCAAATTTCTTCTCGCATCTGTCACATGCAAAATCTTTACGAACGTCATGTACTGTTCTTTGGTGGTGAAGCAAAGTCCCTTTTTGTCCAAATTTCTTCTCGCATTTATTGCATGCGTAATCTTTCTGACCATTATGTACTGTCTTTAGGTGGGAGAGCAAACTCGATTTTTGTGTAAATTTCTTCTCGCATTTGTCGCATTTATAGTCTTTGCGACCCTCATGAATTGTCTTTTGGTGCCTGATCAGATTAATTTTTAGTCCAAATTTCTTCTCGCAAATATCGCATGTGTAATCTTGGCGACCTTCGTGTACCGTCTTTTGATGATTGAGCAGATTCTGTTTGTGCCCAAACTGATTTTCGCATTTGTCGCATGCAAAATCTTTACGAACGTCATGTACTGTTTTTTGGTGGTAAAGCAAAGTCCCTTTTTGTCCAAATTTCTTCTCGCATTTGTCACATGAATAATCTTTGCGACCTTCATGAATTGTCTTTTGGTGCCTGATCAAATTAATTTTTAGTCCAAATTTCTTCTCGCAATTGTTACACACGTAGTCTTTGTTACCCTCGTGAACGGTATAATGGTGTATTTTCAAGTCTCTTTGATCTCTAAATTTTCTCTCGCACTTATCGCATGCAAAATCTTTACGGCCTTCATGTATTGTCTTTTGGTGAAAAAGCAAATGCGGTCTGTAGCCAAATTTCTTCTCGCAGTTATTACACGCATAATCTTTGCGACTTTCATGGACTATTTTTCGGTGTTTGTTCAAATTACTCCGATCTCCGTAGGTTTTCTGACACTTGTCGCACGCATAATCTTTACGACGTTCATGTACCGTTTTTTGGTGCCTGATTAAACTGCCTCGTTCCCCGAATTTCTTTTCGCAATTGTTGCACGCGTAATCTTTGCGGCCTTCGTGGACTGTCTTTTGGTGCAAAAGTAAATGTGATTTTTGTACAAATTTCTTTCCACACTCGCCACATAAGTAATCTTTCAGGACTATAACTGCAAAATCTTTGTGACTATCGTGAACCGTTTTTATGTGCAAGAGTAGACTTTTTTTATTTCCAAATCTCTTGGCGCACTTTTCACATAAATAATCTTTGAAAACTTCGTGGAATATTTTGTTGTGTTTGAGTAAAGTTGATTTATTTTCAAATTTCCTCTCGCACTTGTTGCATGCGAAATCTTCGCGATCTTTGTGTACTAATTTTTGGTGCGTAAATAAACTCGATTTGTTCACAAATTTCTGCTCGCACTTGTCACATTTTAGATATTCGCGGCTTCTGTGTACTGATAT